ACAGAGAGAGAGAGAGAGAGAGAGAGAGAGAGAGAGAGAGAACGTAGCAACTTAATGGCCTTTTGGATTGAAAGTTGCTCTTTTAAAGCTCTTAAAAAGAAACTCTTTCTTTTTAAAGTCTTGAATAAAAACAAGAACTGAGAAATTGTTTCTTTTCGATAAATTTTAACATACACAAAGATTTTTCTTGAACAAAGTAAGAAAGAAAATAACCTGTTACGAGTTTGTACACTTTACGAAGTACCGAAAGAGAGAGAGAGAACTAGCGTTTATTTTATATTTTTTAATTTCTGGATACTTTATTTTATAATCTCTCAAAAACGTATATATATATAGTTAGTTATTTTATGTATTGCAAATTTCATCATTTTATTCGAACACAACGGTAAAGCATTAACCTTAGAGAAGCGATATTTTAGAAAGACATTTTTATTCTGTTTACGAGATTGAGTCAATTAAAAGATTGATATCATCATTTCCGATTGTTTTGTACGATTTGAATTAATACCCAAGATGACTACTACTACTAYTACTCAATTATATCAAAAGTCTTTCAAAATTCCTTTTTTTTTTACTTCTACGAAATTCGCAACGTGTCGCAAAAGAACACACAGTCTCGTTGCGATCTTCAAGAAATTCCAAAGGAATGCACAATGGTGAACGTAGCAGCGATGGATTCAAGTTGATTTCGATACGCATTTTATTGATTTTATTTTTTGTTTATCATCATCGATATCAAATCCAAGACTAAATAATAACAATAATAATAAAAACAATACTTTCATCATTCATTTATACACATTCTCTCGCAATTCCGTTTAAAAATATCATCAAAAAAAAAAAAAAAAATTAAAACAAATTTATCAAATAAAATGGAATTTTCTTTCATAAATAATATTATTAAATGTTTATGTTACAATTCAATATATATATATATTACCGATAAACATATTCATTGTCAGAATAACATGAACAAGTCGTCGATATTTCTTTTCAGTTCCACGAATCGAGGTAACATGATCATGTAGTTTGATAAGGATCCTAATATTCGATCGATGACAAAAAAACAAAGGATATAGCCATTAAAATCATGAGAAGAGAACGGGAACAGAAAGAACCAAGCAGATCAGACCCATTGCTAGAATGAGAAACGTATATACGAAAGGGGAATAGCTGCTGTATATATACATTAAACAGAAAACGTGTGCATGTGCAGGTTGTACACATATATATCTACATATATATATATGCAGTAAAGATAGAAAGAGATAGCATGAGAGTAAGAAAGAGAGAGAAAAAGAAAGAAAAGGCGAAGAAGGCGAGGTTCGAATGGAAGCTGGAACGAAGCCTGAAGACTTGGAAGACTGGAAAGGAGAGGCAAACTCTGGGACCAATGAGAGCTTGGTGAGGGATTGGTGAGGTCAGAGGAGGGTCCCAAGCGGGACCGTGAGCTCTCTTTCTTTCTTTCTTTCTTTCTTCTCTTTCTCTCTTTTTCTTTCTTTGCGTGTATAGATGTGTATGTATATATGTGTGTATACGGGTCTGTTGATGCAAGTGCGGTGACTGTACGAAGACCGGTGCTGACTTGCGGAGTCAGTCAGTCAGTCAGTCAGTCAGTCGGCATCGGCCGCGACGCACCATACGCGAATTACCAACCACGCGTTATCTCATTCCATTATCTCACACATTCTCGTCGTTTTATATTATTATTATTTTTCTTTTTCTACTTTTTGTTTTAAATATCAATTAATAAATATTTCGTTTGTTCGTTTATATTCAATTATCGTATTTTGATATTCCACACATTATTCCCTCGTTTATTATCTTTCTTCTTCCTATCGAATATACTTTATTATTATTTAAAAGAAGATTATATTTATCATATATTCTTCTTCCATTGTTTATTGTATTCTTCAAGAAGTGACCTTGCGAAGGGATTTTTCTTATCAACACTTTGGAAATCTAATACTTCGTGGTGTATCTCGTCTTAATTATATACGTCAAAGGTAACACGCATTTATTATTATTTATTTACTTTTTTTCTTCTTCTTCTTCTTCTTAAAGCATTATTTTTGTGTTATTATAATAAGTAATATTGAAAATAATATTAATAGGTTTTATATTTAAGGCGTGTCAATGAATTCGGGGGCGGGGGGCGGGGGGGGGGACCATTAAACAATTTGAAAACTAAAAGTACACTTTCTTTATAAGAATAATAGTGTAATGTATAAATATTTTTTTTATAATCTTTTATCTACAAAAAGAAACATCCTATAATGATTATCATCAATGTTTTACATGCAAATAATAATAATTATTATTCAACAAAATAATATTTGATATTGAATCAAATCATGAGACAGATAAATGTAAAAGTAATTTGATGTCGTAAATGAAATGGGCTAAAGTTTATCAAAAGTTCAATTGTAATACTCGTGTAATCCTTTGGTTAAATTAACTTTTGCAAAGTGGCACACACACATATATATATATATATAAACACACATAGACATATTCTAAGAAAGTTTATGAAGGATTGTAATCTTGTGTAAGAAACGACGACCTTTTCTACGTGATTCTGAGATGCAAGGATGATATGATATATACATACATATATGTATATATATATATATTTATAAACAAGCTTAGTCGAATGTTCGTCGTATTCTCAATAATTTCGAAACCCGAAATGATCGTAAAGTTTCCGGTTCGAAAGGTTCTCTCGCAAGGAGATCAAGAAGTAAGTAAGTAAGTAAGTAAGTAAGCAAGAAAGCAAGCAAGTATCTTCTCGAGAATCGTGACTTGTATTGCGCACGTGTGTGTGTGTGTGTGTGTGTGTGTATGTGTATGTGCGTGAGTTCATTCGACACAACAATTTCGAATGCCGTTAGGCGTCAATGATCGACGAATCCGATGACCGTCAGGCAAACGTAGATAACAGAAATGTCGTTAAATTTTATGTTTTTTTAATTTATAATGTTAACGATTGAAATAATAAAAAAAATCCAAAATGAACAAGAGAATATTAAATATAAAGATAAGGATTGATAGAACGGGAACAGGAGAATAGATAAATATATAGATAGATAGATAGATAGATAGTATTTAGAAGGTTGTTGAAAATTTGTTGAAAAATATTCATGTGAAAAAAAAGAAAAAAGGAAAAAAACGAAAAGAAAATTATTCTTGTTATATTATTATACTCCACGAATAGTCGATGAGTCAACTATATTTTTTTATCGACGTGGGATGAAATATCAATTTTTTGAAATGACGTGTGAACCTTTGTCGAACGGGCACGCGTTTTCTCTTTTTTTTCTTTTTTTCTTTTTTTTTAATTAATGGTTAAGCACCACTACCATCATTACCACGTGGATGAGTGGGTTGGGATACAAATGTTAAAAGATTTTTTGTTCGTAAAGCAATGTAATAAATTCAATATAACTCATCTCATTCATCGTATTATAAAAAGGATGATTCAATATATATTTTGTAGATAAAATAATGATTATAGTTTTACACAATTGTTCATTGAAATATATTATACATGTGAAATATATGCCACAAAAGTTTTTCTTTTTTTAATTAATAATTAAACACCATCACCATCACCACCACCACTCACATGTGGGTGAGTGAATGGTGTAACGAATTTTAAAAGATTTTTTTTCGTAAAGTAACGTAATCAATTAAATATAATTTATTTCATTCATCGTATTATAAAAAGTATAATTCAATATATTTTATAGATTATATAATGATTATAGTTTTAAACATTTTTCCATTGAAATAAATCTACCACAAAAGTGTCATTTCCTTTTCCTTTATCCGTTTCCGTTGTGGATATTCTAATAAGCGATTTTCGTAAGCAAACTGATTGTGAGACTAAACAATAAAAGAGATAAGGAGAACGATTTGTCATTCGTTCATATTCGTTCGTTGGTATTTTGCCTTTCAAAAATCCCAACGGGATTTTTGTTATTTATTTTATTTTATATATTTTTTTTCTTTTTTTGATCTCCTTACTGATAAATGTTCTTGCGTGTAAAAGAACTGAAAGTGGGCGGTTACGTGACACACACACACACACACACACATATACACATATATAGGTATACAAAAAAGGGTAGACTCAATTTTTTTTGTCTGATGAGATAAAAATATTATCTCGATTTAAAAGAAAAAGAAAAATATATACAACAATAATAATAGTAATAATAATAGTAGTAGTAGTAATAGGAATACTAAGAAGATTTATTTGTAAGAATAAAAAAGAAGGAAACGTGTGTGAATGAAAAAAGGGTTTTGTTTTTTTTTGTCAAAGTGATATAAAAATTTACAAACAATATATAAAAGATGTACAGCAACAATAATAATAGTAATAATAATAGTAGTAGTAGTAATAGTAGTAGTAATAGGAATACTAAGAAGATTTATTTGTAAGAATGAAAAAGAAGGAAACGTGTGTGAATGAGAAAAGGGTTTTGTTTTTTTGTCAAAGTGAGATAAAAATTTACAAACAATATATAAATAATATAAATAATAATAATAATAATAATAAAAATAGTAATACTGATAGTAGTAGTAGTAGTAGTAATAGGAATACTAAGAAGATTAATTTAAGTAAAAATCAAAAGAAGGAAACGTGTTTGAATGAGAAAAGGGTTTGTTTTATCGAAGTGATACAAAAATCTACAAACAATGTATAACAATATACATTAATATTAATCTTTAATAATAATAGTAATAATACTAAGAAGATTAATTTAAGTAAGAATAAAAAAGAAGGGAACACGTGTGAATGAAAAAAGGGTTTGTTTTATCGAAGTGATACAAAAATCTACAAACAATGTATAACAATATACATTAATATTAATCTTTAATAATAATAGTAGTAATAGTAAGAAGATTAATTTGTAAGAATAAAAAAAAAAAAAAAAGAAAAAGAAGAATGAAGCACGTGTGAATGAGTAAATCGATGTTTTTTTTCTTTTCTTTTCTTTTCTTAGTGACTTCTTCGATGTGTCACAGGCTTATCGGTCAAAGAACTTTCCTTCTCATAGTTCGAATCGTATCAATCGATAGTAGAGGACGTTTTATCTTACTTTTCATTCTCTAGTTTTCTCGAGCGTGCATAATAAATGTGAATGATAGAAAGACAGACTCGTTTTTCTTCCTTTCACATCGTTCGGGGAATGATCGTTCCTTTTCTTTCTTTTTTTTTTTTTCTTTTATTTCTTACTTCTTAGCTCGTAAAAGAAGAAGAAGAAAATTCGAATTGCCGTTGGTGAGCCGTTGGTAAGTCAATCGGGAATCCTTGAATTTCTACGACATCCGATCGTCGAAATTTTAAAATGAAGAAGAAGATGAAGAAGATGAAGAAGATGAAAATGAAGAAGAAAAAGAAGAAGCGAAAAATGGTAAAACGTTATCGAAAGAAAAATAGGAGATTTTCCTTTTCTTCTTCTTCTTCTTCTTCTTTTTTTTTTTCATCCCCCTCGGATAAAGAAGAAAGGCAGTTATCTATATAGATGTAACTACTTTGTCCCTTGAGTACTAAGCGACGTTTATTTCTTCGAATACTTAACGATTTTTTCCTTTTTTTTTTTTTTTTTTTTATATATCTTTCTACTATGTTCATATATAAGATATTTTGTTAGATAGCAATCATTATTCTCTTGGTTGAAATCGTGAAATTATTGGATGGACCGATATGACGAAGTTTATCCTTCGATTTTTCTATGATCGTCATTTTCCTTCTTTTATATTTTTAACAAAAAAAAAAAAGAATTAGGATATTAAATGAAAGAATTGTATTGTGAAAATAATTAAACCACTTGACGTTAAGAATTATATTAAATTTCTCACGTCTTAATATTATTTTATTATATTTTATTATTTTATTAATTTATTTTAATTTATTTATTACATTATTTTAATATTATTTTATTTTATAATTTTCTATTTTAAATTTTACCCCCCCCCCTCCAAAAAAAAAATTAGAATATTGAAATAAAAGAATTGTATTGCAAAAATAATTAACCCAATTAACGTAAAAATCAAATTAAATTTCTTATATAATAATATCTTATTATTATTTTATTATTTTATTATTTATTTTTAATATTGAATTATTATTTAACAAAATTATATTATAAATTTAATAAAATAATATAATATTTATCATACTAATAATCATTTGATTAAATTGATAACGAATAATTTTATATTTATAATTATATTAGAGTTACTTTAGTATAACAAAATAAATAATTCTATAAAACGTGGTTGATTTTTTAAACTTTTCAATTTATCTATTCTTTTTCTTTTTATCAAAGAAAATATTTTTATAACCGTCTGTACACACATAGACTCTAATACTATTATATCTTTTCTTTCATTATCATAAACTTGTAGAACATATTACACGTGTATCGTTGTCAAACTGGTTTTGAATGAATTTTTGGTCGTTGCACTTTCAGACAGTTTTTCTTTTTTTTTTCTTTTTTTTTTTTTAATACTTTTGTTCAAATATGTACGACCCACGCTGTGAGAAACCTTGTTGTAAAGTATAAGAAGGAAAAATGTCCTCTAGACATCATTGAACGTCAAGTTAGTTTCTGACCATGCACCAAATACAAGAAAGAATTTTGATTAAAACAAGAAAAAAAAACCATAAAAACAAAGAAATTGTTCATAGATTTCATTAATATCATTTAAAATTTATGTGATTGAGAAACAACAAGTAGGGAGAATAATTAAACTACCTGCAACTCTTAAAAAAAGGTTGAAAATATTGTCTAATGTTTTATCAAAAAAAATAAGATTTCTATTTGACACTTACAGAGTGTTCTCTATAAACTTGTATTATCATTATTATGGTGTTAATTAACTTTAAATAATAGTTAAGGGGAAAAACAGATTTGATTGATGGTGTTGTAAACCATACGTGGGTGAATTATATACCACAGGGTTCCCCATCATCAATCAATTCGTTTCCCCTTTT